CGATGAAAATGGAAAAGAGAAATGGGAGCTCGAAGCGAGAATAGCAAAAGGGAATAAAAAATTTCTGCAATTATATCAAATTTTTTCTCATTACTCACTGTTGGTCAAACAGATCTTTTGTCATCTTAAACACTACATGATTCTTTAAACTTTCGAAGAAGCTCCGTCAAATAAGTCCTTGATATAGGGCGATCGTGGTACCTCTCACTAAAAAGGCGTTCCGCTGCATGGCAATTGTGTCTACATTCACCGGTTATTAAGACAGCTCCTACTTTGTCACAAGGTGGAGAACATCAAGCGCTGGGTAAGAAATAGTAGAGTAGAACGGAACGATCAGATAAGTCGAATGACAATAAAGAGAATAGTAAACCCCAATAGGAAGACGATCAGTAGGAAGGCCACGGAAACGATGAAATGACAACATTATGGAGGCACATTGAAAAACGCACAAAGACATGTCTACATAAAAAGAAGAAAAAGAAAATGAGCTTAAACCCAAACAATATTAGTATGATTGAATAGATATATTAAATACATCATACATACACAGTGGCTCTGTAACATCATCTACTCGTAATCATCATCACATAATAGGTGACGTAATTACTATTACCTCACCTATTATGACTAGTTGAGGAGGATACGTCCATTTATTTTTCCCTCCAAATTACTATTATAAGTATACATGTTCAAAAGATACGATTGGGGCAGGGGACTTTTGGCTAGCACTGTAGAATACATCTGTTTGGTATCTGAGTTAGTTAGCATAAATAATTTATCTAAACTTGATAGAATCCAATTTAAATCTTTGAAAATTGTGTTAGGGTTAATGAAAAGCACTCTAAATAAAGCCACACTAGTTCTAGCCTCTGAAAACCCACTCTCATTACGCAGAGAATATCTGGCAAACAAAATTTCCTAAGCCATAATTTTTGATTCGTGTATAACACAAAAATAATTAATCAATTAAATACAGCTGATTTGACATAATATTTCTTAAAAAAGAATTCTCCACCATTTGGAAAAGCATTTGTAACTTGCGCTGAACTTAAGTTAATTAATTCTCCTTATATGGGAATCCTAATCCTCTCGTAAGATTTTTATGCGAATAATAAGGTATCTTGAGGTTGGTTCAAAAACGGGTGTATGTATATTTTGTTGATTATAGAAAGGCATTCGACCGCATCAAACACGGAAAATTGATTAAGGTGCTAAAAGAAGTAGGGCTGAACAGACACGACATAGCTATTATAAGTAATACATATTGGAACCACACAGGATGCATTCGAACAGAGAACGGAAACACCAAGTACATCAACCTAGAACGAGGAGTGCGTCAAGGGTGCATTTTGCCCCCCCCCCTATTATTTAATATATATGCCGAACATATAATTAGAGCTTCTCTTGAAGATCGTCCTGAAGGTGCTAGAGTCAATAGAATCATCATTAACAATATAAGATATGCTGATGGCACCGTAGTATTAGCAGAAACAGAAGACCAACTAAAAATATTGATGAACATATTATCAGAAGAAAGTCACATTCTGGGCTTGGACTTAACTTTTTTTCCAAAACCAAAATTCTGGTATTCCACGAAAACCCCCATGAACAAGTTACACCTAACATATGTACAAATAAATGGTATCACCCTTCAGAGTTCCCAAAGCTTCATATACCTAGGCAGAGATCTAAATAGTCAACTAGACCACTCAAAAGAAATTAGAAGACGCACTGAAATAGCAAGATTTGGTTTCATGAATATGCGTAAAATGCTCTGTAACCCCAAGCTATCAGTCTCAATAAGATTGAGAACACTAAAGTGTTATGTGTAGTCTGTATTACTATATAGCTGTGAGACCTGGACATTAAAACAGTATGATGTCAACAAATTAAATTCATTTGAACTGTGGATGTACCGCCGAATGTTAAGAATAAGCTGGACAAGCAGAACTACGAATTTAGAAGTACTGAGAGTAATGAACACATACGTTATATCTAGGACACATAATGTGACATAGGGAATTTGAGCAGCTCCAAGTAATATTGGAAGGTAAGATTGAAAGTAAGTAAAAGGGGCATAGGACGAAAGAAAAAATCTTGGAAAAAAATGAAGATTAAAAAGCATTTACTCTGATAATCATGAAAATAAAACAAATTGAAGTACAACTCAAAATGAGAGATATAAATGGAAAGGAAATAGAACTGGGGAAAAAATTAGAGATAAGAACATTGAAATAATAGCTATAACCGAGACAAAGAAAAATGGAAGAGGATCAATAATATTAGAAAACGGAATGTTACTAATATACAGTGGAGTGGAAGAAACCCAGAGAGCTCAAGCAGGAGTAGCGTGCATGATAAAGAAGAATAGTATCAACAAAATAAAAAATTGGATATATTACAACAAACGTATACTAAGAGTAGACATAGATATGGATACAGAGGAAACCAATACAAACCTAATCATATGCTAAATTGTGATCACAGGAGATATGAACAGTAGAGTGGAAAAAGAAGCAGAAAAATGGAACCATGTCATCGGACCTTATGGGGAAGCAAAAATAAACAAAAATGGAAAATTACTATATATAAATACGAATTATGTCTAGACAATAACCTGGTGATTATGAACACACACTTCCAACATAAAAAGATACACAAGATCACAAGAGAAGTCGAATCGAGACGAACAATCAATTATAGCCTATACTATAGTGCAAAAAACAGAGAAGAACTGGATAAGAGACGTAAGGGTGAAAAGGAGTTATGAAATTGGTAGTGACTACTATCTACTAGAAACCACATTCAAAAGCAAAAGAAAAGAAATAAAATTAACTGAAAACATAATCAAAAAACACAAAGAAATAATAAAAATTTATAAACTAAGGGAAGAAACAACGAAGATAAGATACCAAGAAGGGCTAGAGAAAGAGATGGACAATGAACATAAAATAACAGAAACAATAGAAGAAGAATGGGGAAAATTTAAAAATGCGATGATAAAAACAGCTAAATCAATATGTGGAACTACAAGAAATAACAACAGAGGGAAACGTACATCTTAGTGGAACGAAGAAGTGAAAAGAGAAATAAAAGAAAAGAAGGAATTATGGAAAGAATACAGACAAGACAAAACACAACCAAAATATGAAAATTATAAGAGACAAAGAACAAAAGTTAAAGAGATAGTTAAGAACGAGAAAAAGAGTTGGGAAAAATTCGGAGAAAAAATGGAAGAAAACAGCACAAAAAACGTAAAATTGTTTTATAGAACACTGAAAACCCTAAGAAGCAACAAAGAAATGAAACTAAAACAAATAATGAACAAGGAAGGAACAATAATAAACGACGATAAGACAAAGATGGAGAGAACATTTCCAGCTGAAACTAAATGGAAATCAAGCGAATACAATGGAGGAAGAAAGCCACACCAAGAGAGTATCCATGAGAAACACGGAAAATCCAGAAACTATAGAAAAAGAAGAACTGGAAGAAGCAATAAGAAAGATAAAGATTGGAAAAGCACCAGGAAGCGATAAAGTAGAACCAGAAATGATGGAATATATAGGAGTAAAAGCAAAAGATTATGGTAATTGATTACCATATCGAACCTATTCCGTTAATAAGTCCGCGTTTCTCTCGGAATGTGTATTATTTCGTATCAGCCATTATTTCTGTATATTTGAGATTAACAGAACTAGAAATTTATTTGAGAAGACTTATGTGAGTTTGGACTTCGGATTTAAATGCCAGCATTCGAGGTACATCTTCTTCAATGGTATCCAATAAATTTTCTAAGATTTTGCCATTTTTTTCGATAACGTCTCTGATTGGTTGCATGTCTTTATATACAAGGAGGGTCCATTTGTCGTTCGAAATTTTGAGATTGGTTTCTTCATGTAACAAACAAGCGTTTACCTAGAAATTCTCAGCGGTCGTCCCGACACAGGAGCGCGTGTTCCAAAACCATTTGCAATTTTAAACCTCGACAATTTGTCGACAATCTTCTTCAGTCAGACGTTGCTTGCTAGCCTTGCTAGTTGCTACGCTACATATTCAATATTGGCCGTGTATCAATGCCTGGCAAAGTAAAAGGGCTATAAGTAAGTGTCAGTTTGCTCAAGCGTTTCTTTTTCCATGTGCAACAGCAAAAGACGACATCGACATGGTAAGTTTGTTTTAATTATGTCCTTAACTCATTCGTATTTATATCTTTAGCTGCCTTGGGTTTAAAAGAAAACCTGTAGTTTTGATGTACCGTAGGCTATAGAGAATTATTCACAGGCTTACCGCTTAGGCGATTAACTCACAAACAAACGTAACATTTTAAGAATACTGAGTGCCTTTTGAGGGTACCGAGTACAACGTATTATGTACAGCCTATCAAATTTACCTTTTAGATCATGTTAGATTGTACTTATAGTTTTTATCTTAAAAAAATATGTATATTATTTAATAATTTAGGTTGTTTTAATAGGTATGATCAATACAATAGTTTTGAACTTATTGTCTCCATAACATCATTTGTATGTCTTTATTCACGAATAATAACTTGTTAACAATAATGTAATAACTGATTCTACTATTACAGCCCTAGTAATTCATCTTTCAAATGTATTTTTGAATAACAGTATTTGATAATTTTATGCTATTATTTTCATAATTTTTAGCTCAATTAAATTGTATTAAATCAAGCACTAAAATAAGAATACGTTAACAATTTAATTTTTTTCGAATGTCGTTGATGATATTTTATTTGCTTTGATGTACACCACTTAACACATTCACTGCGTCAAGTGCATATGGGATCTTTGAATAAACATGGGAACGTATGCAATTTTCATGTTTTAACAGGTCGATCGCAGTGAATGCGTTAATTGCATTGAGCTATTTAATGTGTTCTATTTCAGGAGAGCTAGAACAAATTGAAGCTGAAGACTGCACCCGATATAACAACCCGAAAAAGGAAAATTGTCGACTTTTTCCCAAGAAATACTACAATGAAAAGCTCTGCCAAGAGTCCGAGCGTTGAAAAGAAAAGCAAAGAGGAAGCTCCAGAACCGGTTTTATGTGAAAAAAATGAATTTCCATCTACCTCTACATCATCAACAATTAATAAGGATTGTCATAAAATGCCAAGCTCCGACTTTAAAGGCAAGATTACTAGCAGTACCGGTACAAATAAAACTGACATTTCCAACTATATTGGAAAACAACCTGATGATCATACCATATCTAAATTTCTGGGATCAGACAGTATACCCCCTAAAGGGTATTCCTATCCATTTTCTGAACACATGAAAAACGGGAAATTAGAAAAACGATTTCTTAATAGATCGTATTTAACCGATGATCGGTATAAAGGCTGGTTGACCTATTCAGAGACTAAGAAAGGACTATATTGCAAATATTGTCCCTTTTTGCGTTTCAGGGTGGAGTTCACAAGAGCACACCACTCCATAAATTTGTCTCAAAACCAGTGACAAACTTCGCTAAACTTTTAGGTAAAGATGGTGACTTAGAATCCCATGGGAGTGCCGAGTACCACAAGGAAGCGGTTATGAAGGGTCTCAACTTTTTGAAGTCATACCACAATCCTTCCCTTGAAGTAACAAATCAGATTTCTTCGTATAGACTTCAAAAAGTACAAGAAAACAGACAAAGACTATCCCCTATAATTGAATCAATTATCTTTCTTGGAAGGCAAAATATTCCCCTTCGCGGTCATAGGGATCATGGTAAAATTAATTTAGACACCAGTGCAATTTCCAACGAGGGAAATTTTCGAGAACTTCTTAGATTTCGGGTTCAATCTGGAGATAAGGTATTGGAAGACGATCTAAGAACAGCATCGTCAAGAGCTACGTACATCAGTAAAAAAACCCAAAATGATCTTATTTTTCTTTGTGGTCAAGAAATTCTAGAAGTTATCAAGAGGAGAATTCACGATGCACCATACTACAGCATCATGTTCGACGAAACAACAGATATGTCACATACATCTCAAATGGCATTGACTCTGCGATATGTGAACAAAGGAAAAGTAAGAGAAGATTTTGTTAAATTTATTGATGTAAGGGCTTCTCTAATAGAAGAAAGCAATACAGAAACCGTAGATGAAGAACCAGAGATATATGAAGAAATGAATAAAAACATTGACCCAATGATGGAGGAAATTGTTTTATCAGGGGAAACATTGGGTAGACTGGTGCTAAAAACAATGAAAGAGCTGTCATTAGACATAAAAAAGTGTGTCGGAATATGCACGGATGGTTGTAGTGTAATGATATCAGAATCTAAAGATGCTGTGCAAGAAATCAAACAGGAAGCCAAATTTGCCGTTAAAGCTCCTTGTTTCAATCACAGTTTAAATCTATCACTGTCCAAATCATCTCAAGTTCAGGCTTTTAGAAATGCAACGGGTACCATACAACAAACAGTTTCGTTCTTCACGTCTTCCTCAAAGAGAAATCAAGTTTTGAAACACTATGTAGGTGGCAAGCTACCTGGATTGTGTGAAACACGTTGGGTGGAAAGGCAAACATCGTTTTTACAATTCAGACTTAAGTTCTCTGAAATCATTCAAGCCCTGGAATCAGTAGCTTCATGGCAAGATTTAAAAGCTGCATCCAAGGCGAGAACCTTGATTTGTGCCTTACTGAACAGTACTTTCCTTATCACTGTAGTGTGTATGTGCAACATATTTTCACTTACACTGCCTTTTAGCAAGCTACTTCAAAAACCTGATATTGACTTGAAATGTGCATTGAAACATTTTACGGACATGACCAAAGCACTTGCCAATCAACGGAACACAGCGATTGTTTGCTTTAAAGATTTGTTCCAAGAAGCAAAGGACATCGCCGAGAAGACAAATTTTGATATTAGTATTCCAAGAATATCACAAGTGCAGAAGAATCGAGCCAACCACGCAATTAAAGACCCAGAGACATACTTTAGAGTATCAGTGTTGCTTCGCATTCTAAACTCTGTAATAGAAGACACAAAGTCTCGTTTTCCTGAAGAAACATTGGAGTTGTACAATCTTCACGTATGCATGCCTGAATACCTGATAACCAACTCTGTTCAAGACATGTTTAAAAAAACTGAGTGTTTAGTAGGAGGTACAGTGAACTTTTTGATATGTCTCAAGCTGAAATGAAATGCTTATTGAAAGGTGAACTACAGCTTTGGGAAATGCAATGGAAAGACACGGACGAATATCCAAAAACAGCGCTGGACGCGTTAGACAGTTGTAATAGAGATTTGTTCCCTACAGTCAGCAAGCTACTTCTAGTCTTAGCAACACTTTCCATCAGCAATGCTTCTGCAGAGCGTAGCTTTCAATCTCTAAAGAGAATAAAGTCATGGCTAAGAACACGGATGCGTCAAGACAGGTTGACTGGACTTGCTCTAATCCATGCCCATTGAGACATCCCTGTAGACCCAACGAAAGTTTTAGAACGATTCGCCAAAAGTGGCCATCGAAGACTTGAATTCGATTTGTAATTACATTCTTTTTAAAACCTTATAACTTGATATTTTATTACTTATAACCTAATAAAACTATTACAATGAATAATGTGAACCTCCTTTTTTCCATTCTAATAGACTAATTTGTATTGTATATTTATTGTAAATTTTAACATTTTAAAAGGTAAAATGTGTTTTGAGCTCTTTCAGTTCAAACGTAAAACTAACATTGTCAGACCAAACCTCTGAAGTTTGACGTTTGTTCGTGATAACGTAGAACCACCTAAATCGTCAAAGGTTTAGAAAGATGAGACTTGCTTCAGAGGCTTGCAATTGAAAAATACTATCACCCACAAACCTTTTCTATTAGACTTTGAGTTGTTTTCAATAGTTCTGAATTGGTTTTTGATACAATCACAAGAATACAAAATATATTTTGAATATTTTATTTGTAAGTTAGCCAAACAATATTTACAACAAGCTTTAGAGGCTAGCTTTTTTATTTTTTATTATAGTGTAAAACTGTTTCCACTGATACTAATTGTAATAATAATAAGTGATTTTCCTTTTTCTCCGTTCGTCACAACCACTAAGTGACAGTCAGTCCATATTCGGTCCATCAACTGTTCAAATGAATAAAATGCCTTTAACACTCTCAAAATCTTGCCATATTTTTACAAATTTCCGGACCCCCTTTCCGGATAGGGGGCTGCACCCCCCAGACCCCCCTGCAACAGACCATCGCCCTTCCCAAAATCTTACTCTGAGACCGCCACTGACTGGGAGAGGATAACTGGGATCAGTCCGAGGAATCTGAAAGAAAATTACTCATGATAGGGTTTTAATCTATCAAAATATACTTTCATTGTTCTTATTTAATAAAGTAGCAGAATTTACGTGAATTTCTTGGATTTCAAAAGGGCCATTAAATTTATTTGGGGATTTATCTTTAATTTGCGATTCCTTGACGTAAACTTTATCGCCTATTTTATATTTTGGAGGGTTTGATGTCACGTGTTGATCGAATCTTTCTTTAGCCTTTTCTTTTTATCTTTCCGTCTTGGCTCGTGCCACTTTATAGAAGTATTGCATACGATTACTTAAGTCTCTAACGTATTTTGATATAAGGATTTTTTCATTGTAAAGTATTTCGGGTGGTCTAAAAGAAGTATGTCCAAAAATGAGTTCGTATGGTGTAAATCCGTGGGTTTTGTTTTTATGTTATTGTAGCAAATAACTGCATAAGGCAGAACATTGAACGGATGTTCATCGGGATTTTCAGCTTGATTAGCTCGTATCATTTCGCTTAAGGTTGCGTGAAATCTTTCGATAGAACCGTTAGATTGTGGATGGCCCACACTTGAGAAGGTTAGTTTTATGTCGTATAATTCACAAAGATCTTTCATCAAAGCATTGTCGAATTCACGTCCATAGTCACAGTGTATGCGTAATGGTGTGCCATAGTATTGGAAAAAGATAATAAGATAATTGACGGCTGATTTAGCTGTTTTGTCTTCAAGAGGTAGCTTTCCGTCTTGGCTCGTGCCACTTTATAGAAGTATTGCATACGATTACTTAAGTCTCTAACGTATTTTGATATAAGGATTTTTTCATTGTAAAGTATTTCGGGTGGTCTAAAAGAAGTATGTCCAAAAATGAGTTCGTATGGTGTAAATCCGTGGATTTTGTTTTTTATGTTATTGTAGCAAATAACTGCATAAGGCAGAACATTGAACGGATGTTCATCGGGATTTTCAGCTTGATTAGCTCGTATCATTTCGCTTAAGGTTGCGTGAAATCTTTCGATAGAACCGTTAGATTGTGGATAGCCCTCACTTGACAAGGTTAGTTTTATGTCGTATAATTCACAAAGATCTTTCATAAAAGCATTGTCGAATTCACGTCCATAGTCACAGTGTATGCGTAATGGTGTGCCATAGTATTGGAAAAAGATAATAAGATAATTGACGACTGATTTAGTTGTTTTGTCTTCAAGAGGTAGGGTATTCGAAAAGATCTATGTTAATTCTTTCGAACGGTGTTTTAGGTGTTTCGGTGATGACTAACGGGTTACTTAAGTTTTTTTTACAGATCTTTACTTTTTGACAGATTTCGCAATTTTTTATAAAATTTTCTACATCCTTTGTGATGCCTTGCCAATTATACTTTTCTTTTATTCTTCGTATATTTTCATTTATACCCCGATGGAGATTGCTTTTACCTCGGTGATAATGATCTAGTATTTGGGGTATTTCGTCCTGTTCCGGAGTTTTAATGACATCTTGACAGATTCTCAGTTTTATTTCTTTATCGGCAAAGATGAATGAAAATATTTCTAGGATTGGTAATTCGAGTTGGTTTTCGACGTAATGGATTTGCGATAGGTCAAATTCATTTTGTGCGAAATAAACGATATAGAATAGGTATTGTACTACTGTTTCGGAATCAAAAGGAAGGGGAATGATAAAATATTTCCGATTTTTGACAGTTTTACTACCGAATATATTATTCTTTGATAAATTAAAATCTATATTGTTTTCATCGAAGACGTCGTCTAATATTTTGTGATGTATTTCTTCCATTTTATTTTGTCTAAGAAAGGTGATGATGTTCTTATGCGATTTGTCTAATAATCGATCATTAGATATTTTAATTTTAGAATAATCAATGAGTGATTTAGTTTTATACAGTTCGAAAAATCTATTAAAATGTTCAGTGATTTCTTCTTCATTGATTTCATTTGACTCTTCGTCAGATTCCGTATCATTCGAAGCTAATATTGATATTTTCTTATAAAAATTCGCACATTCTTTAATATTATTGATTTTAATTCGAGAAAGGGTGTCCGCATTTTTGTTGGTTTTTCCCGGTTTATGAATAAGTTTATAATTGTATTCCTCAAGCTTGAGACGCCATCTAGCAAGTCTGCTTCCAGGGTCTTTTATAGAAAATAACCAGGTGAGTGGACGGTGATCAGTTACTAGGGTGAATTTTCTACCGAACAGATAGGGTCGGAAATGTTTTACAGCCCATACGATGGCAAGGAGCTCTCGCTCAGTGGTCGAATATCGTGTTTCAGCATTACATAGGGTACGTGAAGCATATACTATAGGAAGATCTTTTCCAATGGGGCCTTGGGATAATATAGCGCCGATGGCGAATGCACTTGCATCTGTTGTGAGGACGAATGGTTCCTCAAAGTTTGGATAGGTCAGAATTGGGTCAGAAATTAAAGCGTTTTTTAAATCTTCAAAAGCTTGCTTGCAATCTGGGTCAAAATTAAAAGCAACGTCTTTTTGGAGTAGTCTAGTGAAAGGTTTAGAGAGTTTGGCAAAATTGGGAATAAAACGACGATAGTAACCGGCTAGACCTAGGAAAGATTTTATTTTCTTTGGTGTTTTCGGTTCAGGAAATCGTTGTATACAATCGATTTTAGAAGGGTTAGGCTTGACGCCATCTTGGGTAATGAGGTGTCCGAGATACGCCACCTCTTTCCTGAGAAATTCACATTTATCAGGCTGGATTTTAAGATTAGCCTTCCGAAGACGTTTAAAGACTTCGGTAACATGGGAAATGTGCTCGTGAATGGTAGGAGAGTATACTATAATGTCGTCTATGTAGACAAGACATCGTTCGTTTAAAATACCTAAAAGAATATTGTCCATGACACGCTGAAATGTGGACGGTGCATTTTTAAGTCCAAAAGGCATACGAGTAAATTCATAGTGTCCGTTTTCGACAGAGAAGGCTGTTTTAGGAATATCTTTGGGATCGATTTCAATCTGATGAAATCCGGAGGCAAGATCGAGAGTTGTGAAATATTGGCATTTTCCAAGCTGGTCTAAGATATCGGAGATATTAGGAAGAGGGCATTTATCGTCAATGGTACATTCATTGAGTTTGCGGTAGTCTATTACTACTCGCCATTTTTGTTCTCCAGAAGAGTTCATTTTTGTGGGAACAAGCCAAACAGGAGATGACCAAGGAGAAGTAGAGGGCCGGATGATAACTTCGTTGATCATCTTATTTACTTGAGATTTAACTTCCTCTTTGTGGACCTGAGGATATCTGTATGATTTCGTAAAAATGGGTTTGGCGTTATTAGTTTCGATTAGATGTTTAATCTCACTGGTGAAAGTGAGATTGTCTCCTTCTAAGTAAAATATGTCTTCGTAATTTAAGCAAAGATTTGTTATTAGTTCTTGTTCTTCCTCATTAAGATGTTTTGTTCGAAGTCGAGATTTGATTTTGTTTGTACGGTCAATTTTATCAGGGCAATAATTTTCCAAGTTATCGTTTGACTGGAAATTTAGGATAGGGTAATTCGAATAGGGTTCAATTACTATATCGGAAGTCGATAATTTTGGGAATTGCATTTGCATTTACTACGGATGTCAGAAATTCTCCTTTTTCATTTACGTGTACTAATGCGTTGGGATATGGACTTTTTCTTTTCTGTGCAAAATTGCATCTGTATTCGACAGATCACATTTTAACTTGAATATTTGTTCGGATCTGGGATCTATTTTAATTTGATTAGGGGTTTCATTGTTAAGCGAATTAGTTTCTACTTTGTGGAGAGGTAATGTTTTAAAGTTTGTGATTAGTTGTTTGTTTTTGAAGTCTATCGTACACTCGAAATGTTCTAAGAAATCGAGGCCTAAGATTCCATCGAAATCAATATCTAAATTGTAAATGAAAATTTTATGAGGGTTTCCCACTTGAAACGCGACTAAAGTTGATTCAGTGACAAAAATTTTTTGGTCTGTAATACCCTGTATAGTAATTTGTTCGGGAAAACGTGGTTTGAAAATTTTCACGGTATTTTCTTTAAAGATAGAGATACCAGCACCGGTATCGATAAGTAATTTAAACGTATTTGATGCGTCTTTTATATAGTACAGGTTTTTAGAGTTTACAGCAAAAAGAGGGCTTAAAGAAAAGTCTGTTCTGGAAAGTTCAGAGATGGGTTCATGTCGTCCAAATTCAGAGTTTGTATCTGATTTTGTATTTGAGACAAAGATTCGTTCATTGAACTGGTATTATTATTGTTTGGTGGGTGGTTCTGATTCGGGACTGTGAGAAAATTCTGATAGTCTTGGCTATCAATTAAATCGGTTGATTTAATATATACATTTACTATATAAAACAATTTACATATTATGAAGAATAGTAATTTGCTTTTATTAGAACTGATATAGTATAAATTTTGACCGAAGATTTCTTGTTGAGTATATCAACATGTCAACAGTACTGTATGTATATATACCAACATACCGAATATCTGAATAAGTCATTACGTTTTCGTAAAAAGATGTATTACGTCTGGATGTAAACTGATTTTGTTTACAACCCTGTAATTTTCAAAATAGTATATTTCCGCTTGTTTAGTAACTTTACTCCACCCAGTATGCCAAGACGCCTTATTCATTTCAATACCTCACCAATAATCTCTAACGGTACTCGGACCCTGTGAACAATTACCTAGTACCCGATATCGGCGACCGATGGTCGAAGAAAGATAAAGCCCGTTTCTCTGTTAGTAATCCCCGAGGAAAAAGCATGGTGCTTTAATACTCAAATTTGTGATTTTGTTAGTTGCGATTCTCAGAGCGTGTGTCTATCTCATCAAGTGGTTAGCAATAAGAAAAGTTGTCTCCGCGATTGTGAAACATAACAACTTTGTGTAACCACGTATATTGTATATTGTACCCTTTGTATATTGTGTTTGTGTTAAGTATAATACGTAGAGAAATAAATGTTAGTTACAAGTTACTCGTATTCTTTACGTACAATAGACATTCAAAATAATACAGTCCACTCAAAAACCCTCAGAGAATACCGGCGGTATAAGTTCGTAGCAAATTAAAAGCACTTGGAATCACAAATAATTCCACCCCAAACGCCGGCATTTTCTCCAACGTCTTTAAGATACTCTTACCACTAGGCTCGGTCGCCCTAATATGGCAACAGATTTTCATCCCAATTTGTGAGAACAATTTGCCTATAAGATTATAACAAAAAGAGATCGCTCAAAAGACTGCTAATACATGGCCATCTCTTCTAAAAAACACAATAGGAATGATCAGGAGACGAATCCAATCGTGAATTCTTATTTTGTTCCAAATACTAGCCAGAAGGTGTTTAAAGTTAAATATATACTGGCACATTTTTTTTATTTCTAATTAACGTGTCTTGACATGTTTGGTCATTGACACGGGAGCAAAGGTTTACAATAGTACCCACAGAGTTATGATACAGAGTTTACAATAGTAAATAATAACAATATGATGTAAATTATATTTTGTTAAACAACTGTGTAGTCTTTAAGAAGTCTATTAGGCTCTTTAGTCGCCTTGAATAGTTCAGAAGTTCTTTTAAACTGTGGGTTATATTGTTGGCAATGTGAGTTGCCTTGTAGTGTTGACATTCTGTGAGGATGTGCTTAACGGTAATAGAAATATCGTTGCAGTGGAAGCATAACTGTGAGTCAATCTTCGTATTGCTATCTTCTCTTTTCTGTTCAGGGATGCTAGGGATAACTAGTTGTTAACATTAGGTTGTATTTCTCTGAGCTTTGTGTCTTTGGTGATCCAAAGTTCATGCCACTTGCCTTGGATATTCCTTTTGAATATTGATTTTATATCTTCTTGGAGCTGTATGTTGTAAATGGGTAAGTTGGATGTATATGCTTCTGTCAGCCATCTCATTTCCTTTGATGCCGATATGAGAAGGTACCCATGTTATTGTTATTGAAGTCGACGATAACGAATAAATTGCGGATAGGAAATTGGTGCACAGAGCTACACTTTGATGATTGTCAAAAGGGACTATCCAACATACGTTGGATATTCGGTATTGTCCTAATACAGTATTAACTGTAGTGACAGAACAGCCAACTCCATCTGCGTTTCGGGATGTATCGGTGTAAAGCACCTTATCCTAGTGGGATGTATTCACAGTATATACTGGCATATATTTACCTAAAAAAATCATTTATATCGTTTATCTGTACGCTGTGCCTCTTAAAGTTATATTTAGAACTTAAAAACAATTTCTTTAAGGGCCGATTGTTCGAACGCTAATCAAAACTTGATTGTAATCAAATATTTAATTACAATCAAATACGTCACGGCAGCTGTCAACATTAATAAAAATTGCTTATTATTATTATTGATTTGTAAATAAAAACATTAAATTAACATCAGAAAGAGTTTAATTATGGTTTACTTTAAGTTATAAAGCAAAATAATAAAATTGAATAAAATAAATCAGTCTATAAATAACCCCAATAAAATGTGGCATATTTGATTTTAATTAAATATTTGATTACAATCAAGTTTTGATTAGCGTTCGAACAATTGGCCCTAAATGTATATATATATATATATAATATATATATATATATATATATATATATATATATACACGATATATGTACCTACATTAAACTAATGCAAAATATAACAAACTTAACTTGTTTAACTAAACGGTGGAGTTCTATTTGATATAAAGTTACTATTATTTATCAAGTAATTATATCGTACGAATACGAGTGCGCTTTTATATTTTTTCGAATTTCGTACATTTTTCTTGTAAATTTATATATTTTTATTGATTTATGCATAGATAATAGAAGATACTCTTTACTTTTTAGGAAGAAAACCTCCTCCTATTTGTATGCCTTTACCAGGCGGCATTTCAAAATTCTGTGGTAGGGTTTATAACATCGGTCGCCAAGGAGAGGAATTCAATGCTTGCTTAGGCCTGGAACTTCGAGCCCTTAATGATATCGAAGCAGCAATAAGAGTTTCTTGCTTTCGATTTGGACCAAATGGTTTAAGGTTGGAACCACCTCAACCATTACCTCCAGTTGATAATGAGAATGATGACGATGATGACGACGATGATGATGACGATGATGATGATGATGACGATGACGATGATGACTTTGGATTTGACGGAGATGACGATGATGACAGTGATGGTGATTCAATAGATTACAGTGTTTTTGATGATGATTTTATTGGTGAATACTTCCAAGGGGAAGATGATTCATCAAGTTCCAGTAATAAAAATAAAGGTTCCACCACCACTCAAAAACCTTTAAGGAGGAATACAAGAAAACCTATACATAAACCTATTGAAAAAAAACCGATACGAAGAAAAACAAAACCTCAGCTACAACAAACCGTCACAACACCCAAAAGTGGAATTACGAAAAAACCTGTAGGACCCGTTAAAAAAGTCACAAAAATCCCACATCATAGAAGAACAACCAAACCTGTTACGGAATCTTCTAAACCGATTACTAAAGCACCGATGCCACAAAACCAACCCTCTACAGAACGTCAACCAGTAATTATTACCGAAACAAATGTAAATGTTTCTGTAAATCCGATTATATCTACCAGTCTACCACCTGATACTCCTATTTCAACGACAGAAGAACAAAAAACTGAAGCTACTAGTCCAAAAATAAGAATTGACATTACTGATTATAATAAAATGACCCAGATAGTTGTTCCAGTTACTAAAGTTGAGCAATTTTCTTCGGAAGAAACTGAAGATCCTATTGCTGATATGGTCCAAGATGCTATAGAAGATGAAATATCTGACTCAACAGAAAATACAACCACTCAAACGAAGAAAGTTACGATTAACTCGTCACCACAAACTAAAGAGTCAACAGAAGTATTTGATGAAGTTGTAGATGGTGTTGTTGACACTTTTGCAGGAGAAGAATCGGAAGAAGCAAGACTTTCCTAACGCGTCAATAGAAAACGATAAATATCGATTATGTAATTGGTGGTTTGTATTAACTGTGAGATATACTCCAGCCTTTTTAGTAACTCAATGGACAACTCTAGCATTTACCTCTTCTTTATTTACACCTTTATTTATGTTTTCATAGTTTCATTTAGCTTTAAAGTGTTTATTATATTTGTAATATTTTTATATGGTATAAAATATGATGTACAAAGTCAAAATAAGAAGACTGTCAAATTATATTCTTTTCTAAACTCTAATATGTTTATAATAATTCATCTATTTTAGTTTTAAATAATTTATTTCAAATATTTATTTATTTATTTGTATTTATATTTATTTATGTTAATTTATTTTTGTAATTAATAAGTTTATATAATATAAACAGAAAAGATATATATTTTTTATACTTATATACTTTCTTAATATAAAAAATTCCCAAGACATGTTTCTTCTTTGGTCTAAGCTTCCTAAATATGTGTGATAATTCAGCATTACACAGTCAGCAGTCAATAACACAGGAACGAATAGTACCATTATATAGTTTGATAGACCCCATGTAGTTTGACAGCCACTACCGAGTTTTCTTGAATGGCTCATTACCTGTTATTTCAACAGATGTGTCGCTGGACTATTGAAATTAAACGCTATACAGTGCAGCATAAACATCATTGTAGTCACCAACATCTGATAGCACATAGAAAGAAGTAAACAGCTTCTACAATGACTTCAATGAAACTAAACAAACAAAACATTCAATGAAACTAAAGAAGAAGAAGTAAATTTGATTTTAGGTGACTTCAACTTGAAAGTAGGGAAATGAAGAGATGGAGAAGTAGTAGAAGAACACGGACTGGGGACACGTAATGAAAGAGGTGAAAGACTAGTTCAGTTTTGCAAAGATAACGAACTCATTATCAAAAACACGTGGTATAAACTGCCAAATCGAAGAATATATACATGGAATTCAGCTGGAGATGATGGTGAAATTATAATAAGAAACCAAATAGATTACATAGTAATAAATTAAAGATTCCGAAATGCCATAATATCGGCTAAAGCGTACCCAGAAGCAGATATGACAAGTGACCACAATCTAGTTTTAGAAAACATGAAACTCAAGGTAAAAAAAAAGTTAAAAACAACTGCCAAAACACTGAGAATCAATCTGAGAAAACTCAGAAACTGATATGTATATACCAACAAATCAAAGAACAAGTGCACAAAGAAGTTCAGGAAGTAGAAAAGCAAAAGCAATTGACAGCAACAGATAAATGGAGGAAAGTAGAGGAGATCTTGAGAAATATCAAAAAACAAAAACGTCAAGAAGACACATCATCTAAAAATAAACAAGGATCACACAAGAGATAAAAGTACTGATGACGGAAAGAAGGGCACACAAGAATGAAAACGAACAACAGCACAAAAAAAATTAATAAAATAATCAAACAAAAAATCAAAGAAGCTCAGGAACTGTGGCTATCAGAAAAGTGTGAATAAATAGAAAGATTAGATAAACAACATGACAGTTTTAACATACACCGAAAAATCAAAGAGACAGCTGGTATATACAAGAAGGGTATCGGAAATATCATGGATAAAAATAACAAGATAATAACGGAATGTACAGATAAAATAAACAGATGGGAAGAATACATAAAAGAGTTATTCGAAGACGACGAGAAAATTGAGGTCATTGAACCAAGAGGAAGAAATGGGTCATCAATCACCAAAGACAAAATTGAGTAAGTGCTAAAACGTATAAAAAATGAGAAGGCCATGGGACCAGATGAAATACCTACAGAAATCTTTAGACTATTAACAAAAAATCATATGGGCACACTTATAAAATTATTTATTGACATTTATTATACGGAGGAAATTTCGAAAGAATGATCAATATTCATTCCAATACACAAAAAATCAAACGCAATGAAGTGTGAAGAGCACAGGACAATTAGCTTGATCAACTATATTGTAAAAGTGTTCTTAGGAGTGATACACGAACGTATCTATAAAAAGCTATATGATAGAATAGCTGAGAACCAATTGGGATTCAGAAAAGGCTGTGGCGCCAGAGAAGCATTATTTACTGTACAAACACTAATTGAACGATGTCGAGATGTCTATTGCGACGTATTTATATGTCTAGTCGACTTCGAAATAGCTTTCGACAAAGCACAACACTAAAGAGTGGCAAAAATACTGCAGAACACAGAATTAGATGACGAACACGTGAGAATCATTGCCAATCTATACCGATATCAGAAAGCCATATTACGAATAAACTAACAAAAATCGAAAGGAATACCTATAAATCGTGAAGACAAGGATGTGGGTTTTCCCCTTTACTTTTTAATATGTATTTAGAAGAATTGTTTAAAGAGGCATTAGAAGACGTAAATGAAGGCATATTTATTAACGGAGCACTTCTGAATAATCTTAGATACGCAGATGACAAAATACTCCTTGCGGACAGCAGAGAAGGACTGTAGATCCTGGTTGACCGCATTACTCAATACTGCGAAAGGTATGGAATGGCACTGAATACAAATAAAACAAGAGGAAATAAAATAAGAACAAGATTGAGGAAAACAGTATTTATGCTAAAGGAAAACTTTTAGGCAGGGTGCACAAATATCAGTACTTAGGTTGTGAACTTAATGAAGAATGGGATAGAAGTACGGAAATAAAACGGCGTATTGAGATAGCTAGAAGTGCTTTTAATAAGATGAAAGCAATATTATGCAATGGAAAACTCAACATTGAAATTAGAACTAGAGTATTGAGATGCTACGTGTTCTCTGTTCTGTTGTAAGGAGTTGAGGCCTGGACAGTTAAAGAGGCGACAGAGAAATGAATTATTAACTTTGAACTGTGGTGTTATCAAATAATGTGGAAAATATCTTGGACACAACACATAACAAATGCGGAAACGCTACGAAGAACGAAAAAAGATAAAGAAATACTCAACACTTTAAAGAAAAGAAAAATAAGCTACTTTGGTCACATACTAAGAAACGAGAAATACCAATTGATGCGGCTGGTCATACAAGGGAAGGTGAAAGGCAAAAGAGGACCGGGGAGAAGACGCACGTCCTGGTTGAAGAATCTAAGACGTTGGAGTGGAAAAACGTCAATAGAACTTTTAAGAACGGAGGCAGATAGAGTCAAATTGGCCATGATGATCGCCAATGTCCTTAGGAATAAGCCACGTTAAAAAGAAGAAGTCGCTGGTCTGAACAAGACACCGTCTCTGACACATGCCATTATTTAATAGTTCTAGCCACGTGAATGTGGCCACTGTTATATCAATTACCTCGTTTTGTTGAGAAGTTATACAAATTTGTTTGTTTCCTACGTTTAGTATGTCTAAATCATGTTCCTTGGATTATCTCCTTCATACTTCCTTCACCTATGATCTTCATCTCTACCGTCATAAAATCCCTGGAATATAGATTCATCAACGTCAGTGTTTTGATATGTCTAACCAAAGCATGGAGGCTCATAAGGGTGGCTTTTATACCTAAACCTGGCAAAACCTAACAGGAAAAAGTTAACTCCCTGATGCCGTTAAGTTTAATACCATTAATACTAAAGACTCTAGAAAAAAGACTCGATATGCACATTAGGGATGGTGTATTGGTTGAAAGTCCGATACATTAAGGACAGTATGCGCGTCGAGCAGGAGTCTCTATGGAAACGGTACTGCACATCTATTACAGAGGCTGGAGTACGTTCTGGAAAACCAAGACCCTTTGGGTACATTTTTCGATGTAGAGGGGACATTCGACAACACCTCATACGAAGCAATCACAAGAGCGATTCGTCTAAAGGGAATAAACAGAACAAGCTGCAGATGGATAGACTGCATGCTGAGTAGCCGTGTGATATATTCAAGTTTATTAGGGGATACAGTTTCAACACAAGTATTAAGAGACTATCCACAGGAGGTGTCTTATCTCCTCTCTTGTGAAATCTGACCATGGATGGATTGATGGCTAGACTCAATAACTACAGGTATTATGTAACGGGCTACGCGAATGACCTGGTCACCTAAGCCCATGGCAAATTTAATGGAACAGTTAGGTATATATGGCAACAGACTCTGACGGCAATGAAAGGCCTGATAAACTTACAAGAAGAGCATCAGCAACAAAAAACATTAATCCAGTGCCAAAAAACTATTTTTTCTTTTTGTGTTATAGGTGATTCCACACGACTGATTACACACCCCTAAGTATAGGCAACAAACAGAACGTCACATAAACTTATTCTTGAAACAATCTAATTGTCTTGTTTACTAAAGATAAGTAATCGAATGTTTGATTACATTCTGTCTTTTTAATATTATGATTATCCTCACATACAATGAGTAGCCAATTTAACTTATGCCTGGTTGCACCAACATATCTTTAAAGGTCGATTCAGACACATCAGTCACGTCTCGTCACAGTGATTGCGCCGAACCGAACAATCCGTCATACAAAATATTCTTTAATACAAATATGTTGCCGGCATTCACACTCATCAGTTGACAAACAGTTTCCCAACTGTCAGATAGTTGATAGTTCTGTGACCAAACAGGACGGGTTCGGCGCCGAGACTATGACGGGACTGATGTGTCTGAATCGACCTTTTTTAGACGTGCCTTAGGCACCGACTTAGGTAGGCCAGGCCCTAGGTAGCCAACCCTACAGTTTTAACTGTAGATCTACAGTTTTCTGTAAACTCTCTCAGTTTTTAGTTTAGGTATCGAAATCTACAGTTTTTTATTTAAGATGCTAGCGTCATCTATTTTATTTGCTAGGTAGTCCGTACTCTGAAGTAAAACGTACTCCTATCGAACCGGAAGTAACGGTCAATAAATTTAATGGATGGCGTTAGTGCCGACACTAATACATTATTTAAATTTAGGTTCAAAATAGGGAGAGATTTTCTTAATTTTCCTTTGAATATGAAATTAGATTCCCAAGACGTGTTAGCCATAATTAAGAATA